ATAAACAATATAAACTATTTAATATATTTTTCACATAAAAAAGATAATATATTTAATAACAATTTTTTTTTCAGATATTAAAGAACAATTATGAATATACCAAACCATAGTCATGGGATAATGTTCTCTAATTCATTCAAAACCAATAATTAAATTATGCCATTAATAATAGTAATAATAATAATAATAATAATGTAATATTATCACCCAAAAATAACTTAAATCATTTTTAAATATAACAAATGGTTGAGAAAATTAGTATTATTATAATTTCTTAATTTAACGATATTTTATTTTTTAAAATAAAAAGTATAATATATAATTACAAAAAGATCTTTTCCTATTTTCAAAATTCAAAATGGGTACAATTTCCAAGCCTAATATTTTTTTTTTTCACAAAATATTTTATAGATAAATTATAAATATATTTTAAATTTACATTAATAATAATAATAATTTAATATTACCACCCAAAAATAAAAACTTAATCATTTTTTAATATAACAAATTGTGAAGAAAATAATTAGAAAGATAATAAGATTTAATTTATTATAATTTATTAATTTAACGATTATATATATATATATATATATATATATATATAATTACAAAAATGGATCGTACAATTTCCAAGCCCAATATTTTTTTTCATTCATTAATATTTTGATCCCTAAACTTTCATTAAATTAATAATTTAGACCCTTAACATTTACTAATATTAAATCCAAATTATAAATTTGGATCTTAGGGCAAAAAGAAGAAAAACAAAAAAATTGAAGGGGTAAATTTGTATATGAAAATGGTAAAAAGGAAAAAAAAAAAAAAAAAACTGTCATGTCAGTAAAATCTCATAAAATTGGAGGGCTTTTGTGCAAATAGTGAATAATGCGGCACCATATTATGTAATTACAAAATATAAAAGAGGAAAAGGACAAAACCTACCTTAGGGTTAATACTCAAGATGCTTCCCTACATGCCTACAAACTCAACTCTATTCATTCTATGGGTTTATAACTTTTTTATTTTTATTTTATTTTTAAATTTTTTAAAAACTATATCCATAACTATATTAATGTTTCGGAGTAGGGTCGTGGAGTCTCGAGTTGGTATAGCGAACTCATTTTAGGGTTGTTGGTTTGGTTCGTTCTGACTATGAATTTGTTAATATTATTCGTTATACAATTTAAATACAATTATTGTGAACCTAACTAAAATTGAATTTGTGAACCTAATTATTAAACGCTCTCATTTAAATATTTTAATAAGGTCGATCATTCTTGTTTTTTTTCTTTGGCTTTAATATGTACCTTCACCGTATTTGTAACAGTCAAAGCATACCGCTAGTAGATATTGTCATATTTTAGCCTTTTCCTTTTGAGGTTCTTCTAAAGTTTTAAAACGCGTCTACTACGGGGAGGTTTTCACACTCTTATAAGATTTGTTCTCTTCTCCAACCAATGTGATATCTCACAATCCACTACCTGGGAGTCAGTGTCCTCGTTGGCACACCGTCCAGTGTTTGACTCTGAGATTCCACATTAGTTGGAGAGGGAAACGAAACATTTCTTATAAGGGTGTGAAAATCTCTCCTTAGTAGACGTGTTTTAAAACGTCAACCCGAGCATGGGTTAAACTATATGGCCACAACAACAAAATAATAATAATAATAATAATAATGAAAATTAGAAGATTAAATATAAATTATAAAAATGAAAATTGATTTAATTAAATGCAATTGTACAACTCAAACCTACTAAAGATAATGTTTATAATTTAAGCTTGTAATCAATTATTTGTTGAGGTCAATTATAAATTATTGCTATTCTCCTACCTATTGTTTCATTTTCTTAATTTTTTTTTTTAATTTTCAAATTCAATACTCGATGACCCGACATGACCTACCTGTAATGAAGCGTTTTTAAGACTGAATACTATTACCACATACCAATACTTGTTGTTTCAATATACTTTATATTATCTGTTTTTGTTCGTTATGTACCGTCGTTAGCCTCACGTTTTTAAAACGCGATACCAAGAAGTTTTCCATACTTTTTATAAAAAATGTTTTGTTCCCATTTCCAATCAATGTGTAATTTCACATTCCACCTCCCTTGGAGGTCCGACGTCCTCACTGGCACACCGCTCGCTAGCGGTGGGCTTGACTTGAGCTATTATAGATAACTATCAATTCTTTTAAATATTTTTAATGATCGTGTCATATGTATCTTTCTCATTTTAATACTGTCCACTTTTTGAGTCATCTCAACCGAATATTCGTTCATTCGTCGTCTAGGGTCAAGATTAAAGACACAGTCACATTTCCCATCGACCCGATTGCCACCTATATACCCAAACTTAAAAATAACTTTTAAAAAAAAGTTAAATTTTAAAAACTAAAATACAAAAACAAAAAGGAACCAAATTTTGACCGTTATGATTCAAAATATGCCATTCCACCCTGTCTTGAAGAATATTTCTTCTCTTATTTATTTATTTTTTCTAAAATACATTTTTTAACAAATTTATTATTAATTTTTTTTTCTCTAAAATAATTTTCAGCAATTTTAGATGTGCATTTAATTAAATAATAATATTTCCAAACAGAATAATTCGCGGTGGGCCCCACTTAAAAGAGGACTTTTTTACGAAATAAAATCTTATTCAAATTTAAATTTAAAAATTATAAAAATTAGGTTTTGAAATTTTTAATTTTAGTCTAATTCTACGTGAATGACATAAGTTTATAATTTAATTAAATAATTTTTTCTTGAAATAAAATAAGTGAATTATTTTATTGCATTTGGTGATGATTTTTTTTAATATTATTTATTTATTTTATTAATCTCATTCAATAATAATTTTTTTATTTAGAAAATGCAGTTTCTAATGTTTCGTATTAATTATTTTAAAAGGCATTTCAAATTTGGAGTAGGTTTACTTAATTAATCGTATTTTTTTAATTTAATGGAAAATAATTCTTTCATTTAAAAAAATAAATTAAATAAACTAAAAGTCTTGAGTATTTAAATTGATAATTTATAATAAAGTTTAAAAAAATTTATTATTAATTTTAATGGTATCCTATAAAGTTACCATTAACTTAAAATTATATTATAGTAAGAGTAATAAATATAAATAATGTTAATATATATATATATATATATATATATTTTATTCTAATTTCATTTTGAAACTTAAAAAATTATTAGACAAAATTTTATAATATTGAGGAAAAAAAAATTATACCATTAAAATAATTAAAAAGAATTTAGGTAAAAATTAAGTAGTTGCAGGGTGCATGTACGCTAGGTTTGAAAAATCTTTTAAAACAACCAAAATTTCGGATTGGTTGGATTGGTGATTGGAGCTATAGCTCACAACCCACCTCAACTCTGGTTGTCGATTTTTTTTTTTTTATATCAAATATGCAGTCATAACGTATCACTAAGTTACAAACCTTAGCGTAGGGTAGTATAGAGTTGGGCTGTAATCTTGGGTTGGTTTAGTTTACCCGACCAAAAAATGTCAACCATTAGACCAACTCGAAATTTTAATTTTTAATAATTTGAACCCAATCCAAATGGAAAAAAATTTAGCTCGATTCAACTCTTAGTTTTAATTTCAGATTTGAAATTCCAAAGTCTGACGTGGCGCAAGGCCAGGTCAGTCACACCGAAAAGATCTGTACACCAGAAACCACCTGATTCCGTTCTTCGCCAGAATCTCCATTTTTACAGTTTTCTAAATAAAGAGGCAAAAAGAAAAAGGCTTAATTAAGCAATGTAACATTGGCTTGGCAGTTGCCACGCGCTATCTTTCTGCACGCGCTTGTGATGGGAGTTTTGGAAAAAACGTGTGACCAGTATGGGCGCGTGGATTCATGCTCGCATGCTGCGTATGGGTTTATGGTTTTATTCGTTTCGTCCTTTAATTTGAAGATTCCGGCGCCACCAGATTGCGGCCGAGACTGCGTTTGGTTTTTATTTGTTTGGAATTTCCGAGAAGGCAGTTATATAATTAAAATTCATAACGAAATACCTTGTAAATAAAATATATTAATTAATTGAGTTATACTTAAATTATTATTTTAATTAATTCAAACTTTATATTATAAAAAATTTATACGAGATTATTTAATATAAAATTACGCTTTATTTTAAAGTTTTTATGATTGAGCCACTGGAAAAAGAAAAACACGTGGTTGGTAAATAAGCAGTAACTATCAATTATTAACCATAATTTCACATCCTTGATATCCATCTCAATTGAATGCAGTCTCGTTTGATTCATGTACTTCTCCTCTACTGCTCGAAAATCATGAGCTGATTCTTAACATTATCCTAAAATTTGTAAACGCTTATGAACCGTTGTTCTTAGGCATCAAAGTAACCGACGTAGCATCAATCTGTAGGTATTTTGGAGAAATAAAAAGAAATTAAGGGAAGAAAATACATTTATCCCAATCAACCATTTCCACGTGGAATTTATTGTGGAAAAAAATATAAAGAGAAATAAAGAAATAATATATTTAAAAAGGAAAATAAAAGCAAAAATTCAGAAAAGAAAAAAGAAAAAAGAAATGAAAAAAAATGATGATTCAGCAAACAGCTACAGCCCACACACCTTCCCATGCAACCCCAACTGGAACCAATCAGTGTGCTTAGCTGTCATCCCACTTCGACCCGACCCGACCCGACCCGACACGGTTTTATTGAATTATTTTTACCATCGTAAAAAAAAAAAAAAAAACTTCGCTCAAATATTTGCATAATTGGTCCCTACATTTATAAGGAATTGCACTAAATGCCCAAATAATTGTGGAAAATATTAGAACTGTAACTCCCAAACCAGCCCTTTATTTTAGCTTTATTTACCTTTTTTCCCCTAATTTGTTCGATATTTTAACTGTACCACAATCGGATTTTCAGGAAAATGAGTTAAATGATTATTTTATTTATTTTTATTTTATTATTATTATTATTTTTTAATTACTGTCCTCCGTGTTCTTTAAGGAAGACCAAAAGCTTGGGTTTCCCATTCTCTCTTCATAGCGTTGTACTCCAAAATTCCCACTCCGCCGCTCGCCATGACGGAACCGCTGCCTCCACCGCCAACTCAGCCGCTTCCGTCGGCGGTAGCGCCTCATCTGAACTATCCGGAGTCGGTGGACTCCTCTCCGAGGTCTCGCAACGCTGATACGTGGGATGAGCCTCTTGCCCCCGCCGCACTCGCTAGTCGGCTTCGCTTTATGTGCAGCTATGGCGGCCATATAGTTCCTCGTCCTCACGATAAGACTCTGTGCTATGTTTCTGGTGAGACACGGATCGTGGTTGTCGACCGTCATACCTCTTTATCTGACCTGACTGCTCGTTTGTCGAAGACGCTTCTCAATGGTAGGCCGTTTACCTTGAAATATCAGCTTCCGAATGAGGATTTGGATTCTCTGATTTCTGTTACCACTGATGAGGATTTGGAGAATATGATTGATGAGTATGATCGGACAGCGAGTAATTCTTCTAATTCTGCCGCAAAACCCTCGCGACTTAGGTTGTTTTTGTTCCCGATTCAGCCGGATGTTTCTCAGTCAATTGGCCCAATTCTTGAGAGCTCTACTAGCTCTGATGACTGGTTTTTGAATGCTTTGAATGGTGCCGGTTTGCTTAATAGAGGTTTTTCGGACACTGCATCGGTCAATTGCTTGTTAGGGCTTGATGATGATGTTGGTGTTAACAACCTCGATTCGGGTACAAGAGAGGCGGAGGGTTCTCAGCCTGGTTCGTTTGGAAATGGCAAGGGTGGAAAACAGGATGTTCATTCTGTTCCTGATTCGCCGATGATCGAGACAACTTCGTCTTTTGGTTCCACCTCTTCTTCGCCTTCTTTGGCGAATTTGCCGCCGATTCGAGTTCATTTGGAGGATGCCGGCAATAGCGGTGGCGGTGGTGTTGGTGCAGTCCGAGTCCAAGATCAGAAGGTGGGAATTGAGGAGCAATTTTCGCAGATTAGTGTTGGTGGTGTTGGGCAAAAGCAGCAAGAGGAAACTTTCGCAGTACTCTCTTCGCCGCCTCCTTTGCCTACAACTATTGTGGCTACGGCGGCAGGCTCTGCAATTCCTGTGAGCGCAGCTGTTGGAGTTGGTGTAGGAGAATATTCCAATCGGGCGATCTCTGATGACGAGAGATCGGACCACGGGGTGCAGGTTGGTTACCGAAAACCACTGCCACCTCAACCACTGCCACCTCAACCACAATCCCTTATCCCCCCATTGCAGCAGAAATCAAGTGGACTTGTTGATATACCTTCCCCGGACTCAATGTCAAGGTAGCAATTGAATGATTTTCTTGATCATTTTGGTATTACTAATTCTGCTTTACTTTTGTTATCATTTTGGTATTACTAATTCTGGAGGAGTAATTGATTGTTAGTCTGATTTGGTGCATTTTCTGTCACGTTTTGGTTCTTCAGTGATAGTAGTATAAACAATCCGATGTCTCGCTCAATACCTGTGATGTATCAAGAACAAGTTCATCAAATCCCCTCTTCTGCCGTTAGGATTCCTGGTAGTCCCGCAGATCCAAAAGCCAATATTTCTGATCAGAACACTCGGGTGCATATTCAACAACAGGTCCAAGAAGCAGGGTATGTGTTACAATCTCATTACGATCAGCATCAACTTCAGCAACAACTTCAGCAACAGCAACAACACCCACCTCAACCACAGCAATTCATACATGCGGGCGCTCACTACATCCAGCAGCACCCATCTGGCGCAATGCCCATGCCAACATTTTTCCCTGTATATTCTCCTCAGCACCCTCATCTTCCCCATCGGATGGAGCACCAATATCCAGTCTACTACCTGCCTGCTAGACAGGCCCAAGCTTATGGCAATTTGCCTGTACAGCAATCTACCATGAGCGAGGCTGTTGCTGCTATTCCTCCTGGCCAGCCCCAAACCCCTACGAATCCAACTTTGGTTACTACTGCAGCTTTCAACCCCATGAGGAATGCTCCTATTGCGAAAACCGAAGTGGTTGCCAATGCGTACAAACAGACAACTACACCTACTCAATCTTTAGTTCAGGTTCCCACAAGTCAGCATCAACAACAATACGTTGGCTACAACCAGGGTTACTCTCATATTCAGCATCCATCCCAATCGGTCACACCTACATCCGCTCCTGCAAACTATGCCTACGAATTTCCAGAGCCTGCTCATTCCCAGATATATTATACTCAGCCTCTAGCACCACCTTCTCAGTACCAAGCCATGCCCGCACCTGCTGTAATGCTGCCTGAAAATTCTGCTCAGCTTCCCACTGACAACATGAAGCAGCAGATGAGAACTTCTCAACCATTATAGTCTGTTCAGAAAGAAGAAACAATTTTGGAATAAAGTATTTGGTTTTGTTTACAAATTTAAAATTTATTGTCTGTCTTGTGATTGGTATCTATTGGTTTGTGCATGTATCTGAGGTAGAGTTAATAAGTAATTGTTGTTGTCTTTTGGTTCGTGTGCCATATTATTTGTTTATTGTCATAGAGAATGAAAAAGTGGTCTGGAGATTATAGTTATACTGTAAAAGTTCTGAACTTAAACATCGTGTGTTTGTGCAGTCAATCTCCTGTTTTCCTTGCCTTTACAATTTCTGCTGATATCATATATGGTTGTTTTGTTTAATTTCTAATTGCTGTACAAGTATTTTGCTGTGTAAAGGCTCTTTCTTCCACTCATTTGCTCATAGCATCCATCAGTTAGCTTCAACAAAAGATGATCCTTTCCTGGCAGATAGTCCCTTCACCTCGACATTTCTTCTGTCTGAACTTTTATTAGGTGGAACAAGTTAAAATCGTAGGTTTTATGTGAGATCCCCTCTTGAAGGGAAGAAGAGTAAGCTCAAAGAGGACAATATCTGTTAGCGGTGAGTTTAGGTTGTTACATTTTCTTTTTAGAATAGAGAGGTATACGTTCAGCTGACTTGCATGAATCACTCCGAACAGGTTTGGTTCGTGTTCATTAGGCTGATGTATAATCCTGTTTAGAAGGGTGTTTACTACCGGCTTGTTCCCATCGATATTTTCCATGCTTTTGTGGTAAAGTTGGTGGGAAGCTGCTTTTTATGTTCTCCGAAAGCTGTTCAACTTCCTTCCCAAACCAGTTCTTTCCTTCTTCAGACACTGTGTCAGGCACCTGTTGGCATTCGCAAGCTGTAAAGTATGGTATCCAATTAATGCACATATTCTTACTTGATACATCTCATAGCTATTGCTCTTTGTTCTTTTTTGTTTTCATTAAAATGACACCAGAATCCAATGAAACTTGATTTTTTGGTCAAGATCTTGTTTGAAATTATCATTGGACTGAAGCCTTTGCTTTTACTGAGATTATCAGGTACTCAGGTGAGAATTTGACAGGCATCAACTACATCTTTAAAACTATTCTCATCTTGAAATCCTAATCATTCATGTGCTATCTGTTGTTGCATACTATAAATTTCATGTGATTATCTGCTGTTTCAGTGCTTGGATTCCTTTCCGGATTGTCATATAATATATACAAATGTCAGGTTTAGTTTTTGGTGAAACTTTTCTTACATTATGTACGAGGTTTGTTTTTTGTTTTTGCAGATGGAGACAATTTGCAGGATTTATGACTCGGATTTCAGCTAATCGGTGAAACGATGCTCAAACTCGATCAAGGGCCTAATCGAATTTCGACTCGGATGAACCACATAACAAGTTGATGCATATGATGAAATTAGAACTCAAAGCCACCAATGATGAATGGTGATATAAATCTGACTTTTGAAATGCAAGGGGTCCCTTCCCTTTCGGTCCTTATCTCTGATGATCTAAATTCAATGTTGCCATGCAGGATCCACGCAGGAAAAGCATTATTCAAAGGGGAATTAATTAATGTGTGCGCAGACATGACTTTGCCTCAATATTAGACTCATTTAAAGCACCGTTCATCATTGGTTTGTCTATCAATTCTTGGAGGACTTGGTTTCTTCTTTCCGATTGGCCAAGCCAACCTCGTTGGAAAATGCTCCTTTGGCGGCTGGTAAGGACTCTTGCATTTGCATTTCATTCTGACTATTCATTGATATAAAGGTCGGACTTGAATTAATCAAACACATGCTTAGATCATAGCCACTTAATTATAGTTGCCAAGCTTTAGAAATAAAGCTAGCTACACTCATGGGTGCAAACGAAGTGTTTGGTTAGGATGAAAATATCGTTCTCATAAAACATGAAAGAAAATATTATTTACAACTTAGTTTGAAGGGTCGCTAAAGCATAATTGGATTCATTAAGACATGCTCTCTCGATTAAGGAATTTGAGGTTTGAATCACACCCTTATCGGTAAATGTAATTATTAATTTTAAATGATTTTTATAAATTTTTTGGTTTATAAAAATATATGTTGAAAATGATATTTTATGAATATATCAATCAAATTGAAATCCATATCTAAATGAATATTTTAATCATTGATTCTTAAAAGGCTTATTGACGTGTGAATTGTTTTGTGCATCATGCTTGTGACCCAATTTGGTTGCGTTTTGAATTTTTAGTTTTGGCTGATTTTAAGTATTCATTTTTTATTGTAGTCATGGTGAAACGATCCAAACCTATCGCTAGGAGATATGATTTTTTTTTTTGGTTTTTTCTTTCGGGTTTCCTCTCTAAGTTTTTAAAAACGCGTCTGCTAGGAAGAGGTTTCCGCACCCTTATAAGAAATGCTTCGTTCCCCTCTCTAACCGATATGAGATCTCACAATCCACCTTCCTTGGAGGGCTGCGTCCTCGTTGGCACACTGCTCGATGTCTGGCTCTAATATTATTTGTAACAGCTCAAGTTCACTGCTAGCAAATATTGTCCTATTTGGGCTTTCCCTTTGTTCGTACCAATTATGATTTGACTGTTCAATGCCCGGGGAAGGCCCCAAATGAGCCATTCCTAGTCTCTCCCCCAGCACGCATCGACTCGCTCTTGCCGCAAGAGCAGCTCGAGCAGTCCACCAACAACTAACGGGTTTGGGACTGGGACCCACATGCTTAGCCTTCAGAGCCAATCCTTTTCTTGATGATACAGATCCATTCGACGTCCCTTGCCTACATTGTTCCATCTATTAGAGGTTCACCTTGGAGACTTGATGCAGTTATGAGTATGACTAGACATGAGAGGTACTCGGTCCTCCAAATTTTCAAGGGTCGTCAGGGGCGCACCAGACACCACACGACATGCGATGCTCTTCTAGCCGTTGGACCCTACCTCCAGTTGAGCTGTTTTCAGAGTGGACAAACTATTAAATAGAAAAGATAACTCTTCCTGAGGCCTCTACCAACGTCTCCGGACTCCCTAATGTTGTCGTCAGCCGCCACATCCCGATTTAAGAATTTTAACTCAATTCACTTTCGAAGCTCGCGTTATTTTGTGACTGGTTTCCCCAGTCTCTTAGGATCGACTAACCCATGTGCAAGTGTCATTCACATGGAATCTTTCCCCTCTTCGGCCTTCAAAGTTTTCATTTGAATATTTGCTACTTTCATCGAGATCTGCACCAATGGCCGTTCCGTTCGGGGCCAAGCATTTGCTTTGACGGTCGGGTATAGGTCGGACGCTTCAGTATCATCCATTTTTGGGGCTAGTTGATTCGGCAGGTGAGTTGTTACACACTCCTTAGTTGATTCAGTATCTGCTATTTGCTATCTTAATCAACCAACACCCTCTATGGGAACTAGGTTAATGTGTAGTTAGGCACCGTAACCTAACTTTTGATTCATCTCGCATCGCCAATTTTGCTTACAAAAAATGGCCCACATGGAGCTCTCGATTCTATGACATGGCTCAACAAAGCAGCTATGTCGTCCTACCTATTTAAAGTTTGTGAATAGGTCTAGGGCGTTGCATCCACGATGCCTCTAATCATTAGCTTTACTTGATAGAGCTCACTCGCAAGCTCCAGCTATCTTGAGGGAAATTTCGGAAGAAACCAGCTACTAGACGATTTGATTAGTCTGTCACCCCTAACCCAAGTTAGACGATAGATTTTAAGGAATTGATCCAAATTTGAATAATTTTAAATCCCTTGATTTACTATACAATTTTGTTGGGCTCGCATGCATATTTAACTCCAATAGCGATAGAGGTTGCTCATGAATACATTTCTATACACATATTTTCAAAACCCTTATTATTTCAAGTAACGGAAAGGACATATCATGGAGCATAACAACGAAACTTGTTAGCTTGTCACGAGTCTTGTGCCTTTATTGGTTCTACTTTCGCTTACTTATGAGTTCTATTCAATCAGCTTTTGAGCGATTTGCAAGATGATTAGAAGTGAAGTGATTGAATGATAATTATTTCCTCCAAAAAAAAAAAGTTCAGAAATGGAAGTAAATATATGGATCAATAGCCCAAAATACAACATTGAAAAAAAGAAGTATATTTTAACTTATGAGTTCTGAAAGAGCTACTTTCTGTCGGGGGGGCAAAATTGAAAGGGACCATAATGTACAGAAACAAGCAATATTTCATCCTATAATACAAAAATACATCCATTTTCATACAGAAACTTTTACCTCAAACACTCTAACACAGTGGTCAGCCCCACAGGAAGCAAGCTGCAGCTTCCTGCACTCTTCGATCTCCTCCTCTGGTTCCCTCCATGACAAACGGTTGACCGAGGAAACGTGGCACACAAATGGATCGAGACGTTTTACGACTGAAGCAACCACATTTGAGCCAACTCCTTCAGTTCTTTTGATAGATAAACTCCATAGCTCAAGGAGGCCATTTTCCATTCCAACTGCAAGGAGTCCATTGCTCTCAGGATCAAGACCGACCCACGATAAGGCGGTGACGCTAGATTTGAACTGTGACAAAGTTGCTAGTTGCTTAACTGAAGAATCAGGTGTCACAGTCCATAACTTCACAGTCTTATCCCTAGAGCCTGTTGCAAACTCGTGACCAAATGGATTCCAAGAACATGACCATATGATTCTTCTGTGTGCCTCCTGCCTTGATATAAGCTCATGGTGGATTTCATCAGAGCCTGAACGGATTCAACATATAATTATATTAAAAAAACAAAGTACTATGTGTTGTTTGAGAGAAATAATATTCACAGCCAATAGTCGTAACAAATTAAAGTTATCATGAACTGCACATACAAATTTCCGGGGAAAATACATTTCCTATAACATCGGATCCCATATAATCACACAACTAAATTAAAGGGATCCTCCATTTGAGGGAGGAGGGAGCTAATTTGAGGAAACCCTCAGATTAGAGGGATTTTTCATACGGAATGACAGAACATTTGCACCAGAAACCAGATGGCTTTTCCCATTAGTAGTTATGGGTTTGATTCATAAGATGGAGGGCGTCTCTATGAACCATAGATTGGGTTCTAAAAGGTGGAAGTGGGAAGGGTGGTAAATTTTATGATGCCATCTTTATGAAGGGAGGGACCAACGCACTGGATTGGTGTCATTTTCACACTAAGTAGGAAACCTAGGTTGGAGAAGAGCTGAAGGATTTTCAGATGCTCTATCCCTTGGATGCGTTTTCCTGGTTTGGTCAGATTTTGTGCCTGCCGCCCAATTATT